CACTCTCCCTCACAAAATGGACACCACAGAGCTCCTATCTCAGTTCTCCCACACTGAAGCTCAAGCGCCTCTCCACTAGATTTGCTCCCCTTGAGTCAAATCCTAGAGAGTTACCCACGCTCTTCACTTCAGGTGACCCTAACTGAAATTGCTCTGGTCACTTTGGCCAAGGCTTTACTGGACAACTCGTATCCCAACCGCTGGACACCAGTTTTATTGTGACAGCCTCCTCTCACGTCACAAAGGAGCTGCCACGTCACACTCACACTCACTTTATTTCATGCTGCCACCAACCATTCCCTCATAAGACTCTTCAGACAAAAGTATGATTTTTAAAATGAAAACTTATGTTTATTGATAATAACAAAAGGAATGGTAAATCACTATAATAATTAAAATAAAAGGCAATCAGTAATAATAAAGTACCACACACACACTCTCTCTCTCAGACCTTCACTCTAATATATAGCACAGGACTACACAACATGTACAAGCCCTAACTCCCTAAGTCCCTATCCAGACCCTATCAAGTCCCTCTCTGACTCACACCTCATTCACTCCCCCTTAAATACCCTAGCTCCACCCTCTTATGTCCCACCTCCCATCACGCTATTGGCAGATGACAAACAACCATAGCAATGACGGGCAGATGACATCACCGTTACTGTAACATAGACTTTATATGTTTCTATGTGTGTCCTTCTTTTGGGAAGATCCAAGACTTTGCAAGCTTTTCTTTGACTTAAGAACCAACTTAAGACCTGGCTCTTTAAGCAGGCCTTCCCTCCGGTCATTACTTGATTTTCTTTTCTATCCTAACTCCCATTTTGCTTTTCCATCTTGAATGCCACTGATAATTTTAATATTAATATTTAAATTGTCATTTTAATTGTTTATGTATTGTTTTTCATATTTTTGATGTAAGCCACCCAGAGTAGACGTCGTCTAGATGGGCGGGATACAAATCAAATCAAATCAAATCAATCAATCAATCAATAAAATAAGTGACCTTGTTTTTGAACCTAACGCAGGCCTTAAATCACTGCATGTGAGGTGTAACCAATACCCAATTTAGAAAAAAGTCTCTTAGAGCCAACGAGTATTTAGTATGTTTTACTTGTGTATCTTATTTCATCAAGCATTTCATTTTTTCCCATATGTCCAACAAAATGGACTTGTTCATGAAAGCTCACATTAAAATATAATAGTCTTTAAGGTGCCACCACATTTTTGCCATTTTTGTTTGGTTTTTTCTTTGAATTTTGCCAGATGACCTTGTTTTGTAGCCATTAATCTTTTCTATTTTTTGGCTTTGTTTTTTTCTTTTAATAAATTACATATAATCCTTTCCAGTATTTGGGTGTGTATCTGCAGAGGAAATCCAAGTACTCTTTCTGGTGTCTGAAACCACTTTGCCAAACTAATGGGGTTTGAAGTCAGAAAGAATGTATCTGGGGCGGTGGCAGTGCTGGTGCATGTGTAAAGCCTTGGTGGACTTCACTTCTTAAAAGGCACAAATGCTGGGATAAGGGTTGCATGCCAAGAAATGGAGTAAAATGGCTCAGTACCTCCCCTCACCCCATGCTTGCTCTGAATTCCCCGCCTCAGGGTGAAAAGGGCCAAGAGTAGAAAGGCTGTGGGAAAAAGAGGTGGGGCAGCTGGCTATCTTTCTAGTATTTTCCCGTATCCAGTATAGTTGCTCAAGTATTACAGTATTGGATAGTGCGTGTGACAGCACTAGTTTCATTTCTAAATGAGCATGTTCTTATTTTGAACCAGATAGTAGCAACTTTCATTTTGCTTACTAAAACACACTTAATGTTGTCACACGGTGACAGAGCGCCTGTCTGATATTAGTCTGACAGAGCAAGTTGGATGGTCATCATCACATTGGCCTAGCTGGCCGTATCAAATACGGCATTTACTAAATATGGCTTTTTTGTCCAGTTGTGGAAGATTTGACGGGTGTATTTCAAGGAAGAAAGGGAGATATGTTTGTTTTCTTGCACTCGCTCATTATTACTATGCGCCTAATTCCTAAACATTGTGTTTTCACTCCCTGCTGTAGATAGTGGAGAAGAATGCAGATCCTGAACAGATGTTGCTGCCTTACTTGAGGAAGGGACGTATCCTTTTCTTGCTTGTGACAGAACAGAATCAATTTAGTCTTTTATCTCTCTCTCTCTCTCTCTCTCTCTCTCTCTCTCTCTATCTCTCTCTTTCACACACACACACACACACACACACACACACACACACACAAACTACATGTGATATGAGACATCTGTAATTTGTCTGCTGATTTTTTTTCACTCTGAAAGACAGACAGGAAGCAGAAACTGGAGGTGCTTCATCTGTTCCACATTGACAATTTATAAAATCAGTCCTCCATTCCCTCAGTTGAAGCTTTCTGTACTATTGAGAGATAGAGGGATACATTGATTACTTCAAATAAACACTGTCTGCATCAGTTGCTTGCAATCTGTACTGTTGGGAGGGGGGGATAAATATAAACATGCAGGTTGATTCATTTTTACTTGGAAAAAAATGTAGACCTGGTACAGTCTCGGGAACACTGGGTGACTGGTGTCCTGTTGCCCAATATGGAGCACACGAGAAACGGGTTAAGCATCTCCCTCTCCTCCAGCAACCTCTCTTTTGTGCAATCAGCTGTATGATTGACCTCACTAGCAGTGCAAGAATAGACACACAGCAGGGAGTCTTCAGGAATAGGGACAATGTTTAATGTGACTTCCCTTTTGTCCTGTGGAGTGTGGAACAGAAGGTGTAATGTCACTCATGTCCTGGCTGTCTTGCCCCCAGGAGGAGGTTGGCCCTTATGTAAACAGAGCATTGGCCTAGATAAGCCCTTGGTCTGATCTAACATAGCTGTTCTTATTTTTACCAATAGCAGAGAATTACAATTTATGCCACCGGATCAGTTTTTGGTTTGCTGCTTTGACTTAATTTATTGATAAAGCCAGCATTAAAGTTAGGCAGCCTTGAGGCTTCCCTCTGTAACATTTGAGGTTTGTAGCTTCAGGGTTATATAGAATGGCCAAGCTAGGAAACATCCAATAAATGAGGACAAGAAATGTGGGGAGAAAAATACATATATTATTTGAAGTGCTGAATCTATTCCAGCTGGTAATTGCATGATATTTGGCCAGTATCCTATTGAGCTTTCACTGAGGTCCCAACAACGTAGTAACACATAATCATGTCCTTTTTGCAAGTGTTGCTATTGTGCAAGTAGTGAGCTCCATGAAAATGACACAGCCTCTCTTTGCCTGCATGACAGCTTATGCACAAGTAGCACAATCCCACTATTCATTAAAAACGTATCATCCCATTCCTTGAATTGTGTCTTTTAGATTGAAAGTCTGAGGTCAGGGACTGCCTTATCTTTGCTAGCTGTTCTGAAACACTTCCTTAGTTGGAGAAATGGGTAAAAATGTTTCACATCAATTAAGACAAAGCATTGAATAATATGCACCTTGAAAATGTTCTCATTCTGTCTTGTTTGTTTTGTGTCTTCAAGATGTTTTGATTACTAGCATAAAAATTATCATCCTTCTAAAATTATCACAGTGAACTTTTCTTGTTTTCTTTTTTAAATAATGATGATGATGATAACCATAAAAATTATCATCCTTCTAAAATTATCTTTTTAAAATAATGATGATGATGATAACAATTTATGCAAAAAATATAACGTGCCAGCCTCCAAAAAACCAGGGTAGAGAAGGTGTCAGAAAATGAGGAAGTCATGATCTTGTGGGATTTCTGGATCCAAATTGATAGACACCTTGAACATAACACACCAGACATAGTAGTAATAGAACGAAGAAATGTCTTGATCATTGACATTGCAATTGCAGAGGATGCCAGAGCTGAAAATAAAGAACTGGAAAAGCTAACAAAGACCTAGCAATTGAAACATTTTGCTTGTGGATGAAACACACTTCAGTGGTCCCCATAGTCATTGGGGCTTTGGGAGCAATATCAAGAAATTTCACACAGTATTATAATCAGTATTATAACCTCTGGCTCTGCAACTAGATACCTAAACTGCTGAGCTATCTGTCTAGTTTAACTCAATGTAAGTTCCATTAAATTATGTATAATTTGTGGTAGGAATGCCGGTGTGATTTAGCATACATTATTTTTTTCTTAATACATTTTACATTTGACTATTTTCTGAATATTTTTGTTTGTGGCTGATCCCTGTGGTTGGTCTATGGACTTCAAGCAATATGTATGTTCTTAGTTATGAAAATAAATTGCTTTGGTGGTTGATCTGTAGCACTTGTTAGTTTGTCATTTTCACTAGAGGTTGGAACAGTACAGTGTAAAAGGAGCTTGTTCCCTTATTCAGTCCTTTGGATTAGCAGGGATTGTTACTCTTACTGTTACCCCATATAGAATATTAATTTGTTTCAGCCCTCATTTCTAATTGGCTACCATTACTATCGTTGAAAAAAAACCCGTGAAAAGCATATTACAAGGCAAAACCTCCCTTGGCACTTTCTTCCCAGGTTCTTTGAATTACAACCTCCACCTCACAATCTAGCTAGCTGTGGTATGAGATTTGTATTGAAAGACATCAAGAAAGTATTAGTCAGCCAGAATTCTGTAAATTCAGTTCATGGCAGAAACAGCATTTTAGCACCACGGAACAAAGCTTTATGAATTTCCAAATAAGTGTGCGCAGAAATTCTTTGTGACATGCACACATACACACATATGAAACTCTGTGATGCTCTGCCCGAAGTGTCACTTAAAATGCCTATATTGCATGTTAAATGTTATTTTGATTTAATTCGTTACATTTATATCCTGCTTGTCCTTCAGTGAGGACAAGGCAGTGTATGTAACTCTTGTTCTCCCCATTTTATCCTCAGAAAACCCCTACACAACGCTGATTTTGCTTGGGGAGTTCTTGTGCATTTAACATTTTCATAATAAGCCAAAATTCAACATAGATGGATTTTTTACTTCCATAGCAGCCACCCACTAAGGCAAAATATTCAGTAGTGAAAAAGATGGGAAAGGGGGATGATGATGATGTGCCATCAAGCCAGTTCCAATGAATGGTGACTGTTGACACAGTTTTCTAGGTGTAAATTTCTCAATACCTTCTTCTGGTGAAAGACAAGCACAGCTTTTCTCCCAAGATGCACAGCAAGGAATCAACCTCCCAATATGTGTGTCTCTGAAGCCAGGTATTCAACCCACTGATCTACATAGACAGCTTGGGAAAGGGCTGCAATCCTGAACTGATTTAAATACCCATGAAACAAACTCCAAAATCTGCGGGCAAGCAAGAATATCTGTACTAAGATTAACTATACATCCCCAAAAATGTGTGAGCTTTTGTGTACTCCAGGACTCCTCATCAGGCAATTAAAAAAAAATAGGGTGATATTTCCCAGGATCCTCAGTCAGCATGGCCCATTGAGAGATAACCCAATTATTTAAGATAGGACTGTGTCTTACCACATTTAAGGGATGAATTTTATTAGAGGATTACAAATCCAAGAAGAACACCAAGGTTGATGTCATATTGATGCAGTAGACTGTGGCCACAAAAACTCTTTGTGCACGCACGTGTGCGTGCACGCATGTGCACGCACACACACACACACACAAATACACACGCATAAGATGCAACTGACACCAGAACATTATTCTTCACCTTCTTCCTTTGCTATCGATCTCCCTGTCATGATGCCACCATAGGCAGCCAGACCCTTAGAAAACAGTCACAGTTGCTGTCAGAATGGGTGGCAACTGCACTGGTGCCTGTAGCAGCCCCCAGTGGGTTCAGGGTGGTGGTAGTGCACCTGTCTCAGATGGAGCGCTCTCTGTGACACCTTAAGCCAGTCACTATTTCAGCCTAACCTATCTTAAGAGGCTTCTTCTGAGAATAAAATGAATGCTGAGAACTCCCACATGCCATCCTAAATTTCTTGGAGGAAAAGAGAGATCAGAATGGAGTCAGTCTAGCAATGCCCTTTGCAAAACCTCATGAAGGCTATTTTTGCAACTTAGGAAAGGGCTCTTTGGACTTCTGATCCCAAATTCTCCCACTGATGAGAAATATTCTGCTTCAATATAGTCAGTACTATATTGTACTATGTACTATGTATCACAAGTCCAAAGGAGCCTTGTGACGCAGTGATTAAACTGCTGTTCTGCAGCCAAAACTGTGCTCACAACCTGGGATTCAATTTCAGGTAGCCGGCTCAAGGTTGACTCAGCCTTCTGAGGTCACTAAAATGTGCTACGCAGTTTTTCCTCAGCTTTTTCCCGCCAAAACTAGGCTGCCTCAGAGCACCTTAATCTAAGTCTCCCCAGTTGGCACGTTCTTCTACTAGTGCACCTCCCCGTGAGGTACACCTAGAAGATTACCTACGCGCCTCAGACTGTCCCTGACTAGACCCCCCTTGCTCTGGGCACACTTGCCAAGGCTTTGCTGGACCGCTGGACAACTGGACCAGTCGTATCCCACACGCTGGACACCAATCAATGTGACAAACCCAGACCTACTGGGATCTATCACACAGTTACTAAGCTGCCACCAACCATTCCCTATAATAAGTCACACAGACCAGGGATGGATTTTTAAACAATAAAAGAATAAGGTTTATTTTAAATACAAACAGGGTAAATAAAACAATCGGGTGAATAAAATAAAGTAACGTGGCTTATTCTCACACACACAAGCATACAGTTTGGTTCACCTAGAACCTTTAACTTAAAGCACAGACCCTGAACCCATCAGTTCTGGCTAACCCACAGACACCTGAACTTATCAGGTTGGTACTCTGACACACAGTAGTACCCTGTCAGACACCCAGACTCCCACAACAGCTTCTTCTTCCCCAGCTGCTGCTTCGTCCCAACCCAGTGTCTCACAGTCTGTCTCAGCATCTCCTCTTCACCACACAGGCATCACATATTTATACAGTACAGCCCCTCCTCCTGATGTCCCGCCTTCCACTCCCCATAGGATGGAACTTTCCCTCCAAACCCATGACAGACAGGTAACATCAGTGCTGTTATGTAACACTCAGCACTCAGGTGTGGAGTGGAGGAAATGTGCAGCCTGAATAATTAACTTGTAAATTGCCCACAGAATGCTTTAAGTGGTATGAGGTGGTATATAAGCAGCACGCTTTACTTTTTGCTTTGCTTTACAACAACAACAAAAAGAGAGAGCTAAGTGATGTCGTTCTGTTAGTGGAGATTGCAGGTGTTCATCCTGCATTATTTTCTTCTTTAAAGTGCAATGATGCCTGACTACATCCCAACCACAAAACTGAGTTCCATCCCAGTTTTGGAGATGTAGCCAGGTTTGATTTCAAGCAGCTTCCCTTTGGAGCCAAAGATGTTCTCAAGAAAAATTCTGTCTGTACTTTTCCAACTTAGTCCACCATAGGAGAGTGGTGGTGGCACCTCTGTACCTCCAGATGTTTGGGATTTCAGCTCCCAGAACCACCACCCAGCATGAAAAGTGGCACGGGATTATGGATGTTGCATTTCTCGATGTCTAGACAGGTCCCTGCAGATTCTCTGTCCCTCTCATAGGACATGGCGAGACAAGCTTGTCACAGGTCCTAATTGGAGCAGAGCGCAGGATTTCTGAGTGTGTTAGGTCTGGTCCAATATGAAGCTTTCCCTCCTTAACTGCAGTTCCTTCAGTCCGACTCACAGGTACCAAGTACGGTTGCGGTGGAGGTGGCTGTGGTGCATGTACAGTGATGATATCCAGATATGAACCCATCACTAAGAAGATTGTGTATCCTTTTGATGAGGATGGTGAACTCCGTGTTGGAATTATGTTTCTTGAATGAGAGATGCTGGTGGTGCCTCAAGGCAGCAAAAAGGCCTTTCGTTTATCATAGCATATGTGCTTTCTTCCATACCTTACATGTATATTTGGTCAGCAAAAGGTAGACATAACCTTACTTTGCAAATCTATTTTTCTCCCAAGAGTATCCCATTCATTGCTGGAGGGGAAAAGTGGAACCTCCCCAGGGAATATGCTTCTTCCCATAACGTCTCGCTTCCCCCTCAGACCCACACTACTGTACCCATGAAGTTCAGGCATGTGGAGAGAGGACAAATAGAAGACAGCTTTCAGTGGCAAAAGGGGGTATTTTAAAATACAGTTAAATGTAAGAGGTTGAATCCAGTAATTGGGGTAGAATGTAAGGCATTGCTCATTTGTTTCACTTCACCTAGAGAAAAAAAAACTATTTAAAAACAGAACATGGAAGATAAGCACCATGCATTATCCTGCATAGTTAGATTAAGTTTAATCAAAGAAAAAGTAGTTGGGCTGTGTCTGTATGTCTGCTGAGCCAGCATCCCAGGGGGGGTGGAGTGCAAATGAAGGATTGCGCTGCTTAGAGTCCTAGACTTCTTTGATTCCACCCACCACCACCTGCCAAAAGTGTCAATGGCTTAAACAATAAAACAGGCGTAGAGAATACAGAGAATCCTTTCATCAACAACATATTTCTCAGCTGATGTGTGAGAAAATGTTTTATCTCTACTCCACTCTCTGGCAGGGTGAAGCATTCATTCCAGCTGGCAAATAACCTATAGGATCTCTTGCATATTCAAAACAAGAAGGGTGAAGCATTCATTCCAGCTGGCAAATGACCTATAGGATCTCTTGCATATTCAAAGCAGGAAACATAGATGCACGTTCATAATGATATTAGCAAATCTGCAAGTGTAGGCACCATTATGACAGTTCTCAAATTCAGTTCCCTCTCCCTGTTGTTACTACAAGCTGTCAGGTTGAATTTGGTTTATGGTGACCTTAGTAGGCTTTTCAAAATATATGACATTTAAAAAGTGGTTTACTGGTGCCACACACTAGTGAATTTCCATTACCAAGGGAGGATTTGACCCCAGGTCTCCTGAGTCCTAGTCCAGCACTCTGTCTGGTCAAGAAATGCATACATATGTGAATAATAATGATTCCAGGTTAATTTATGAATGGAAGATCCCACATAGATAACTATCAATGCCAATTTCAATTTTTAAAAAATACAGTAGGATCCTTGTATCCACAGTATTGGTATCTGTGGTTTGAGTTCTCCACTTATCCACAGGATTGGTATCTGTGGTTTCAGTTCTCCACCGTTTACCACAGCCCTGTATAAAACATACAAGGGGGTGGGCCTTGTTGCCTTTGTCCCTCCTCCTTGTATGTTATATATATGGTTCACTACTGTTCATGGTTTCAAGCATTTGTTGTAGATCGTGGAATAGATTCCCCCCATGGATACAGGAGTTGTTACTGTATACTTTTTTTCTCTTAGTATATTCAGCTGATATATATCAGATGGAGAAAGTATAATAATAAAAAGTGAACAATTTGCATGTAGTATTGCAACACATGGCCTATAATCGACATTTGCTAATGTAAAATATTCTTGCAGGTTTGAAATCTTTAAATTTTTGTCTATAGTTATCAGCATTCATACTTGAACTGAGACAATCATCTGATTTCAAGTGTTAGGTTCATTATATTTCTCTTTGCAATTACATGTAACAAGACAGGCAATACACATAAACCATATATATTTTCATAAATGGTGAATATAGTTTTCTCCTTTACAATGGCAGTCATTATTCAGCCAACGCATGCTTGATCCCCATCTGTTCACTGTATGGAACTGCAGTCATCACTGTGGAAGGAATCGGAAATACAAAAACAAGGATTCATCCTGTTCAGGTAAGTCTGAGAAGAAGAAGTCTGTTTCTTCTTCTCAGCCACTGTATGGAACTGCAGTCATCACTGTAGAAGGAATCGGAAATACAAAAACAAGGATTCATCCTGTTCAGGTAAGTCCAAACTGTTTCTTCTTCTCAGTTGCATTTCAGTAAAAAGCAGCAGTACTGTGAAAGGAGTGGTCACAGTCCTGTCTTAGGGGAACTGCTATGACCCTGGGTGCAGACAGCTAAATGCAGAAATCTCATCCAGCCCTTGAAGAGCAGTGCCTACGTGGAAGTGCCTTTTCCAATTGTATTATCTTTGTGCTAAGTCTACACAGCTCACCCATTAACACCAGTAACAATGGGCATTTAGGCAATGTGGTAATATCAGCAGCCAACATTGTCATGTTTCACCAGGTTGGCAAAAACTGGGTGTGAAGACTGTATTTAAATTTATTACCATATCTTTTCCCCCATTCCCACCTTTTCCCCTTTATGGCAGTGGTTCCTGATCTTGAATAACCCTGCAATACCCAGAAGCCTTTACCATCAGCTCTGCTGGTGGGAGTTTCTTGGCGCTGCAGTCCAAGAACATCCAGGTGACCCAAGGCTGGGAACCACTGGTTTGTGGACATCGAAGCAGCACGCGTAGGGATTCCCCTAGGTATCCTCATGCCAGGCACTGACCAGATTTTCTCAGACTGAACAAGGTGGCTTCATCATCATGCACCTTAGTGTAAAACTGGTGGATGATTTGGACATCCATTTCAATACTTTTGAAGTTTTGCTCTTGTTTCCTGGTTTTATGGTTAGGTTGTTTCTCATGCCTGCTTCGAATGGTTTGGGTTTTTGTTGTGGAGCTTCCCAACTTCCTAATGTTATTGTGATCTTTAGAGTTCTTTGGATCTGAATGGCAGGATATACGCATAGGTAAAATAAGGCAAGGCTTGGACAGGGAAGTATTCCAGAATATGTAAGTAAAGTAAGTTCTAGACTTAATGACTAAACAACAACAACAAAGTTAAATGCGCAAATGCAATTCCGGCCTATTCAGGATGGAGCAGCCGGGCCAGGCTTGCTGCTCAGTCATTCCCAGTGCAACTGGGGGCAGCTTTGCAAACTACAGACCTCCTTCTATGGATACTTTAGCCTGACATTTGAACCCAGCATTCCGGCATGTGTTTTCCTCAGCTAGCTAGAGGCATAAACAAAGAACAACCTGTGGGAAGAGACCAGCCAGAATGCCAGCTTGGCTGGGAGATCATAAACGGCTATCTCTGGTCGCAGAGCAGTGACTTGGCAACATTCCTGAGCCTGCTGCTAAAGGATCCTGGTCTGAGATCATGTCCAAGCAGTTTGGTTTTTGTTGCATTTAAACATGTAGCACTCCTGAACTTTCATGTGGTTTCCCCTCTGAATTATCCAGTTGTCTTCGCCACTTGGGACACTTCTGCTACCCATTGGGCCCATCTTTTATAATGATTACGGCTCAGTGTTAGCTGTCACAGAAATGCATTGAGGGATGGTGGTGTGGAGTTATGGTTCTTGCTGTTGTTGCTGTTATTGTGGTTAAGGTGACCTTTACAACCAAAGGTTCGAAAATATACTGTACAAAAGGATAAAGAAAATATCTGGATGAGGAGATTTAGTCATCCTGCAGCACGTTTTATGTTGTTCCAGGAACGGATTGCTAAAAGTCATGGCTCTCAGTGTGGCTTCTGCACCCCTGGAATGGTTATGTCAATCTATGCTTTACTGCGCAATGAGATGGAACCAACATCAGAGCAGATCACTGAAGCTCTCTCTGGTAAATATTCTAGAGATCAGCTTTCTAAAAGATTACTTGGCTTTTTTATGAGGCTTTGCCTTTTGTGTTTTTATTTAGACGGTTTATTTGTAACTGACATGAAGTATGCTTCATTATTCTTATTACTGTGTTTTGTAAGCTGCCTTTGAAGAGCATGGGGTGGGGGTGGGGGAGTTTTCAAGAACAACTTAAAATATGTAAAAATAAATAAATAAATAACAAATTTTAGACAGGCAGATCCACTGAAAAGTGAAACCCACTGGGGTATTTGAAGGAAATAACTAAGTCTGTTTTATTATTTAATTAGGTAATTTGTGTCGTTGCACTGGCTACAGGCCTATTATTGATGGCTGTAAAACCTTCTGTAAGGTAAGAGTGAGCAGCTTCAACTACACTTGCAGGAAGAACCAAATTTGCTTCATAGTGACTTTGGTTGTTTCACAGGACACAAGCCAGCCAATGTTGCTTTAAAAAGTGTGCATTGGTGCCATTTTAAAAATTGAAGCAGGGCCTCCATCCCAGCCTGTCCGTACTGGGAGGCATCTGAACGTCTGATAGCACCAGGGTTGAGGCTTGTTCTGTGGCACAAACGGAGCCACTGGAGAGATGTAAACATTACTTCTTTTTACTGCACCTCCCAGAATATTTCGAATAACCTTGGAGTAAGTGTGTATAAAATTGCACTGTCACTCTGAATCTAGTCAAGCTAGTCTTGTGAGGCCTCTGAGTAACTGAGTTTGTTATACAAGACATTTCTAACATGAATTAAAGTCCAACATTTCAGTCAGAAATATCCCATGCATACATTGCTCATTTGATTCACTCCCATGTAATCTTGTTCCTTATAAGGAAATCGAGCGTTATAATATTTGGCAGATAGCCAAATTTGGCAGGGAGCCAAATAATAGCTCAATAATCTCATTAAAATTAACATTTATTAACTGAAACTAAATCCAGACAAGACAGAGGTGCTCCTGGTTAGTCAGAAGGCAGATGAGGGAACAGGGATACTAACTGTGCTGGATGGGGTTACACTCCCCCTGAAAGCTCAGGTCCACAGCTTGGGTGTACTCCTGGATTCATCCCTAAGCTTGGATACCCAGGTTTCGGCGATGGCCAGGAATGCATTTGCACAGATAAAGCTGGTGCGCTAGCTGCACCCATTCCTTGAGATGTCGGATCTGGCTACATTGACACATGCCTTAGTTACATCCTGTTTGGATTACTGTAATGCTCTCTATGTGGGGCTGCCTTTGAAGACGGTTCAGAAAATTCAGCTGGTGCGAAACCCTGCAGCCAGACTACTGACTGGGGCCAGCTACAGGGAGCATATAACACACCTGTTACAAGAACTGTACTGGCTACCAGTCCGTTTCTGGGCCCAATTCAAAGTTATGGTCAATACCTATAAAGCCCTCTACAGCTTGGGTCCAGGCTACCTGAAGGACCATATCTCCCTATATGCACCTTCTCAGTGATTAAGATCACCAGAAGAGGCCATCCTCTCAGTCCCATTGCCAGCACAAGCACAGCTGATGGGGGACACAAGAGAGGGCCTTCTCTGTGGCAGCTCCCAGGCTGGATCTCCCTCGGGAGATCAGGATGGCCCTTTCCCTGTTATCCTTCTGAAAGAAGTTCAAGACCCATCTCTTCAGGCAGACTTTTAACAATTATAACGGAATCCCTGAACCCCATTTTAGCAGATAATTTTAATCTTTTTCATGTTTTCATGTTTTAATCTTTTAATTGTATTTTAAATCATATATTGTTTAATTTATCTTTTAATATTTAACTTACTATGTTTTTAAATAATGTGTATTTTAATTTTGTGAGCCGCTTTGGGTCCCTTGTTGGGAGAAATGTGGCATATAAATAAAAGTAAAAATAAAACTAATAATAAAACAGAGATCCCACTCTTTTCATGTTCAGTTGTTTAGCTTCAATTCCCAAGCATCTCCAAGTCAGTCTGGGAAGGACTGCTTTCTAAAATCTTGGAGAACGAGTGTAAACACTATGGAGCCTGGTGAACCAATTATCTGAATCAACATAAGGCATTAGAAAACTGATCTGGATGCATTCAAAGGAAATAGCTGGCCTGTTTATAAGATCAATTTATTCAATTTTTTAATATACATGTATTCATTTTGCATTTAAAAAGGACATTAGCAAAGTAACACAAATACTGAAATTCTGTAAAAATTGTAAATTATCCAAATTGAACATATTTTAGTACATGGTTTCTTTTTCTGTGTAATGTGTTCTGCTATTATTAAACTTGGAGAAGCACATATGTCTGTATTGCTGCTGATTATGGAAATCCTACTGCTTCTCTGAATCTGAAGATTTTACCAGATCTTGCCTGTCTGCGTAAACTTCAGGTCTGGAAACATGGGGCACAACCAGCCAACATTAATGCACTTTTATGTCTCAAGAGTTTCCATGTACTAGGACATGTTCAAATTGCTCCTGTTGAAACAAATAGGACATTAAAATATTCACCTTTGGGTACATGGTGGCCTGGCTAAAAGCAGTAAAGAGGAAAAACAGACAGATAAACTGGCTGTTAAATTCTGGGTATGATTCCAAGTCTGTGCTTACATAAGACGAGAGAGTTGTGTAATGCATTCCTGATTATACCTTTGGCAAGAATTCCTTACTAGTTAACATCCAAGTCCAAGGCTGCCTCAGATCAGTAGATATCTTTTGTCGTATTTTAAATATTTGCGTAACTCCAGTGATACTTAATCAGAGTTTCCTATTTTTAGGAATCATATTGTTGCCAAAATAAAGAGCATGGGGGTTATTGTTCAGACCAGGGAGACCATTTTTCTTTGCTACCTAACAAGGAAAGAAAGGTAAGTTAGTGACAGATTACCATATATCTTTTGTTGGATGGGAAAATTTGAGGAGAGGAAACATAATTTGCTTCTTTACAAATTTATCCACCAGAATCTAAACTGTGCAAAATATAACAGGCAGCATTCTCCATATTATATGTCTTTTTAAAAAGTTGTTATTTGCCATCTCCTGTTTTTGTGTAAACAATAAATAAAATGCCACATACTGTAGTAATGTAAAAGAGAAGGAGAGAGAGAATGACAAAGGGACAACCCAGCCACTTATGCTCTCTCTCCAAGTCTAGATAAAATTTGGTTCCTAAATACAGTAGCTGCAGGATAAGGATCACTGATTCACTTATTTGCTGCCTGAAAATACTAAATAAAGACCCCCTGACATTTTATATGTATTTACAATGATACCTTGGTTGATCACTGATTCACTTATTTGTTGCCTGAAAATACTAAATAAAGACACACACACCCCCGACATTTTATATGTATTTACAATAGTACCTTGGTTGACAAATTTAATGCGTTCTCCGGGATGTTTCGTAATGCGAAAAATGCACATTACGAAATGTGGTTTCCCATAGGAATGCATTCAGGGAGCAGCGCTAAACCTCCCAGGTGCAATGCAAACTTGCTTCGTATTGCAGGGGGAGGGGGAATCATAAACCGAAGCATTATTTTCAATTTATTTTCGTTCCTAAACTGAAAATTACGTTAATCGAGGCATTCGTAAACCGAGGTACTACTGCATATTTCCAAGGTATATTTAGCAGAACTGATCACTAGAGGGAGGCGGAGACCATGCAATGCATAGCATTTGATCCTTTTGCATTTTTTTCAGCATCTGCCGTGGGAGGGCTTAGAACCAACCCCCTGCAGATAACGTGATCCTACTGTATACAATGGCGCTGACACGCTTGGTTATACATCTCTTTATTGCTCTAATGTTTTTGTTTTTGGAGAAGGGCAGCATATAAATCCAATCAATCAATCAGTTAATTTCAGGAATGAAACAAGCCTTTAGTGCATTTCAGACAAAATAAGAGGCATCCTGGGAGTACTTATTCTCTGACAATAAGACCCAACGAAGTAATGATTTACAAAACATGGTTGTTGTGGGTTTTTCAGGCTCTTTGGCCATGTTCTGAAGGTTGATCTTCCTAACGTGCTGTCCTCTGAAGATGCCGGCCACAGAGACTGGCGAAACGTCAGGAAGAACAACCTTCAGAACACGGCCAAAGAGCCCAGAAAACCCACAACAACCATTAGATCCCGGCCATGAAAGCCTTCATGAATAGATTTATAAAACAGCTTCCTTTATCTTAAACATGTACCTGTGTGGTTCTGTTTACTTGCATATTTCATACATGGTTATAGACATGCTTTTTTAAAAACTGTGTACCTTTCAGGGCTAAGCCTTGGCCTTGCAGACATCCTGGGCGGACATGTCAGGCACTTGGTAGTTCCTATCTAGTCAATTACTCCACTTGTTTGGAAAGCATTAGAGGAGTTCCAAAAGCTAGAGAAGGACAGTAAAGAGGCAAGAGGGTCAGACCCCTGTTCGTTCTATCTATGGTTGCAATCTTAAAAGCACCGTCACCCTCCAATACCTGATCAGCAGTCCGCTGTCAGGGTAACTATCTGCTCCTCAAGGCCAGATTTAGAATTTACTCAGCTTAAAAATGAGTTTAAATATCTTATTTTTCCCATGGAAAGTTCATATGTCTTTCATTTCCTGAGTGTTAAAATCCAACCAACTGTGCTCACTGCTAATGTACTTTTCCTTTCCTTTCCTTTTTAATTTTTAAAGATCTGTACAGCATTGTTTTCTGCAGAAGAGTTCCAACTCTTGGATCCTACCCAAGAACTAATATTTCCACCTGAACTCATAGTAAGAAGGATTACCATACTTGTAGCCTGCCAGTAAGGCAATTCCCACTATCATTTTAATATGGTGAGAAGTAGCGGTTGGATGACTGGGGAACATGGAATCTCTGGTGATGTAATCCCTTAATTGTGTCTGCACAATAATGTACTATGCCGCTATTAACCTCCTGAAGGGAGGATGAGCTATTTAGTTGGTCAATGATTGTTTTGACTGGTGAGGATGCAAAAGAGCACATACTTTGTGGGCGTTACAATTCTCTATGCCATGTGAGTGTGTGCGCGAGAGATGTGTAGTGCATTCCTGATTAAATATCTAAGTTTCAAATGCTTTAAACAAAACAAAAACAAATAATAGTTTCTGGAGATAGTTTGCATATTTACTGGGGCATGCCTGTGATATGTTAGATTGAAGAAGCTTAGAAAAAAATTATGTGAATTCTTCCCACTCCTTTGTATGAAACTCCTAGGTGTTCATCATGTTTCACACATGTTGATATTTGCTTGATTTGTTTCCCACCTTTCTCCCAGCATGAGACCCAAGGCAGGGAGAAACATGATTAGAGCACAGGTATAAATAAAAACACAAGTTATAATATTAAAGTAACACTGTTAATACTATAAAACACGATTAAGTTGAATTAAATGTTTAGTTAGTGGATATGCTGGCTGGAGGTGCACTTCCAAAAAAATAACTTCTCCAAAGTCTGAAGTGTGTTTGTTTCTTTATTTCTTTTTTTTGTTACATTTATACCCCCTTTCCATTAAAAAGGCAGCTCAAAAACTTGCAAAGTTTCCATGACACCGTCCTAGGAAATGAAGAAATAGAATGTATCGGTAATCTCAACTCTGAATCTGGTTTTACCTTCAGAAAATGGCTGAAAATCAGACCGTACAGACTCTTACTTTCTACGGGGAAAGAACATCATGGATTTCTCCTGAGAATCTAAAGGAACTTCTGGAACTCAAAGCCAAATACCCACAGGCACCACTTGTTGTAGGGAATACTTGTGTGGGTACGTTCAGTATGCTTTTGTATGCTGTAAAAGCACCTTCTCACAATGGTCTGTTGAAAAGTCATCCCCCAGTTCAGACTCAAGCCTTTTCTCAGATTCTGAATTGAGGTTTCATATGCAGCGGAAGAGCTTGCTTGCTTACTTTACCTAGAGTTTTAGCATATCCTATCATTGCACCCCTTGAAATTTGCAAAGAGGGCCGTGCATCGTGTCTCTTCACCAAGGCTGGATTTGCAGTCGATCAAGGTGGGAAGACATGACAAGAGAGCACAGGGTTAGCTGTTTAATTTGTAATGTTCACAGTTTTACTGACAGAAATGGGGAGCTGTAGGAGTTTCCATCCTATGTGCCAGAATTTCTTGTCAAAGGGTCCTGGCCCAGCTGACTTTTCATCTTCATTGTTCCAGAAGGCATTTAATTGAAATAACAACTGTGGGTCCTGATGATGGCAATTTTAATTGTATTTTAATTGTATTTTAATTGTATTATTATATTGAATTTTAATTATTTTAAGCCGCCCAGAGACCTCTGGGTAGAGTGGGCGGTATATAAATTAAATAAATAAATAAATAAAAATAAATAAATTTGCAAAGTCACACAATGCCTTCCATTTACCGTATTTGCCGGCGTATAAGACGACTTTTTGGCCTAAAAAACATGCCTCCAAATGGGGGGGGTCATCTTATACACTGGGTGCACTTCAGTTGGGCCAGCAAAGAGCCGCCACCACCATCACCATTGAGTGAGTGACATGGGGCCACATCGGTCGGGGAGGAAGGCAGGCGGGCAGGCAGGCTGTCTGTCTGGATGGAGGGAGGGAACCAGAGCCGGCCATGGCTGAGCGGCCAGAGCCTGCCGCCAGAGAGCCGCTTCCCCTCCTCCTCCTCCGCTGCCGCTGCCCGATCAGCCGCTTCCCCTCCTCCTCGCCCTCCTCAGGCCTCATTACCAACCATATACTTCCAGGGTGGGCCTGGGCAGAGCCCCGGGCAGCCGCCACCAGCGACACAGCAGAGCCATCCACTCTATATTTTGAGTGGAAATGTTGGGGGGTCATCTTATACGCCCAGTTGTCTTATACGCCAGCAACTACAGTAAAATATCATGGTGCAGGAGCTCCATTTGGGGCAGAAGACTCTTTACACACACACACACACATATTTGGACAATAATCAAAATCCTACTTGTCTACTCTTGTTGGTGATGATAGTATGTTTTGATGGAACACCGTGGAGTTTTTTAAATACAGTACAGCACCCTTATTTTCTTTTGATCTCCCCCTCCCCATTTTTTTTTTAAAAACCGTTTTAATAAATTACTGCCAGTGTCTGAGTTGGAGAAGTAGGTAAATTCAAAGGAGAATGTTCAAAGAATAGTTGTGCATCTTTCTATTTCCCCTACAATCTCATTGTTTACCTTCTGCCTCTTAGGACCTGATATGAAATTTAAAGGTATATTCCACCCACTTATCATCTCCCCCACAAGAGTGTTGGATCTTCATGTGGTTGAACATACAGAAGATGGTAAGTAAACTATTCTCAAAGGCTTTCACAGCCAGGACCCAACAGCTGTTGTAGGTTTTTCAGGCTGTTTGGTGTTATCCAGCAATCATTATGTTAGATTACACAGGGAAGCCATTGAAATCCACAAACATCAGCAAAGCTTCAACAAAAAAGATGAAAATCTAAAAACTCAACAAAGCCTGCCTTCCAGAGCTGAAAAATACAGCTTACAAAAAGGTCAACGAACTCTACCCAGCCATAAGGGCTAGTGATCACTGCACACAAAAGACTAGCGGACAACACCCATCAATCACAGTGACAGATCATCTCCCCCCTTATCACAACAATACACCCATAACAAAAAACACCCCAATCACCATAATCACCCAATCTCCTGAAAAGGACAAAAAGCTGATCCCATAACTACAAATAGTCAACTATCCCACACATTACACCAGAACACAGACAAAGTTCTAACTCCTGTCCTCTGAAGATGCCAGCCACAGAGATTGGGAAAATGTTAGGAAGTAAAACCTCCAGATCACGGCCAAACACCCTGAAAATCCTACAACAACCTAATTCCCCCCCTTTTCTGGTCCTGCATGAAAGACACTGGATTTTAAGAGCAACAGGAGTGGTGTGAAGGGTTCTGCCTGTGGTGTTTGTGTTGATGAGTCTTGAGAAAACAGTTCTGTGGGTCTCCAACATGACATAGTGTAAGCCAGGGAAGGAGGAGAGTGTTGGGTCTGTGAAGAGCACCTGTTTGGAAGTACCATTACTAACACTGCATCCCCAACCCTTGGAACAGATCTGCAGACCTCCAGTACTGAATGTAATGAAATACCATAAGCATGTCAGATCAGCCGATGCAGGAATCAGGAGGGGTGGAGCAAGACTAACTGCTCAAACAGCCTTCAGTTTGCTGTTGTGCATATGCACTCTGTGAAGCTGAGGCCACACCTTGGACACCGATAATTGTGTTGCTCCTTGCCCCCCTTTTTTTAACAGAGCATGCTTCCTGGAAACAACTGCCTTTCAATCATCCCCTGCTTTCCCCACCCCCTGATGCATGGGTGAAAATGCTATCTTTGTTAACTGCATGAAACACACATCTCTAACGTTGCCAAACTCAGCCAAACCATTTTAGCTCAATCCTAATTCCACTTTTTTCCCAAGCAAGTACAGTATGTATATTTTGAATCTGTTTGAGATCCCTGTTGCCTTCTTGCTTTAACTGTCAATGTAAATTCCATCTTTACTACACAGAATCCCTTTTCTCCAGTGTTTGAAATATGTTAACCTTTAAACCAGAAGGGAAGAACATGTAACCTTCCAATGTTTTTGACCGACGAACTCTCATCTGCCCTTACCACCATCACCAGTAGTTAACAGTCCAGCAACATCTGGAGGCCCTCAGGTTGCCTACTATTCTTTAAAAGCAGCCTATAATCTTTTAAATGAATAGGAAAAATAATAAATCCTTTGGATTCTAAGCAAATTCTTACCAATTTCAGCAGGTTTAAATGAATAGGAAAAATAATAAATCCTGTGGATTCTAGGCAAATTCTTACCAATTTCAGCAGGGATTGATTACAGTGGTGCCTCGCTTGACGGCGTTAATTCTTTCCAGCGAAATCACTGTAGAGCTAAAACATCATCAAACGAAATTTAAAAACCCATTGAAACGCATTGAAAACTGTTCAGTGCATTCCAATGGGCTGAATACCTGCCCGTCCAGCGAAGATCCTCCATGGGGCGGCCATTTTCAGTGCCTGTAGTGTGAAAAATCAGTCCGAAAAACAGCAGGGGCCATTTTCTTCAGCCAGCGGCCATTTTGAAACCCAACGATCAGCTGTTTGCTGATCGTCGTAAAGCAAAAATTGGTTCCCGAAGCATGGAACCAATCATCGCACAGTGAAAAAACCCTATTTAAACCATTGTTTTATAATCGCAAAAGCGATCGCAAAAACGTCAACGTTAAGCGGATTCATTGTTAAACGGGGTAATCGTCCAGTGGGGCACGACTGTATATGGGCTGGTTGTCATTCATCACACTAAATGCTCCTTACTACTGACATCTGAAAAGCTATTTTGCAACACAAGTTTAGATCGAAATACCTTGCACAGATAGCTTGAAAAGGATACGTATTGTGCATGCCTTGTACCTTTAATTACTAAACACGACAAAAATATTTATCTAAATTTATTATTTATTATAAATTCAAAGATGTGAAGGAATATAATCTGAATAAAAATGACATTTTTTGTCATAAAATAATTTTTCATTTTTAACTTTTTCTCAGGACTAATCCTGGGAGCAGCTTGTACTATGACCGTGGTGAAAGATGTCCTGGCCAATGCGGTTTCAAAACTTCCAGCAGAGAAAACCAAGCTATTCCGTGCGCTTTTGCAACAGCTGAAAACCCTGGGTGGACAGCAGATCCGAAATGTGGCTGTAGGTTTTCTTTTTTAACTGAAAGAAACTTTCCCCAGAGAGGTAGCTGTGTGAGAAACAAGCAAGCATGCAAACAAACAAGAGTCTCATGACATATAGTGGACTAACAGATTGATTATTGCGCAGACGTTTGTGGTCTCTTTAGTCCACTTCATCAGGCACTTCAGAGGAGGTGGCCTGGGCCCCCAGAAGCTGATGCGGCAATGATGCTAGCCCAAAAGCTGCCACAAGGTTCTTTCATTGTTTTTGAGCAAAGAAGTGCTGAAAATACTGCTGTTCACTCACATATTTTCTGTTAACAGAAATTGCCTCCGCATTATGAATGGTGTCAATTACAACCTGTGCATGTTTAGTCAGATACGAAGGATTGATAACAAAATAAAGAGAAAATGGAGGGGGAGTAGAAGGAATTGCTTTCCCCCTCCATTTTCTTGTGGGGAAAATGCTTTTCCCCTCCACTTTCTTGGCAAAAAGCTGCTTTTCCCCTCCACTTTTTGCTAGGGGGAAAGCAGCTTTTTGCAAAGAAAGAAATTTGGGGTTAGAAAAGTGGGGGTTGTCTTATACATGGGGGCACCTTATACACGGAAATATACAATGTGTTATAAACCACCCAGACAGACCTTTAGCACTATGGGGCAGTATATAAGTCGAAATAACAATAACATATAAGAGGCTACATTCAGAAAGAAAATTTAAGAAAGGTTTGCCCTCTACATGAGCAGAAACACAGCCGAGAGTTCTTTGCATCTCACCTGTTATTTCTGGACACTATTTTCATGCATTCGGGGTGGCTTGGAAAATCGTATTACATATTTACCATATATGGAGTTTAGACTATTATGTTTATTGTGAAAAGAATTACCTTAATGATGTTCATGTCAGGTTTGTGTAATTTCTGTAATTTGCTGTGGGTAATTAAGCCTAATCGACACAATGTGATCAAGATGCAGCCTGGCATATTATCAGTGAGCCATGGCAAGCTGCACAAACCTCACGCAAACACCGGTGGAATTCTGTCCAGTATTTTCATGTTACATTTAATGTTTTAGTTTAATAAGCATTGGAAGGGAAGGCATTCCAACTACAATACTACCCGTCTCCTTTTTTAAAGTCTTTTGGAGGAAATATTGTAAGCAGAAGTCCAACATCCGACATCAACCCTATACTGGCAGCTGGAAACTGTATCCTCAACGTGGCATCAGAAGGTTGGTTCAAAGACTTTCTCATTGATTTATTACAGCAGGGTTTAATTCAAAGCATTCATCTGGAACTGGCTAGAGATCAGCTGAGAAAGCTGGCTGAGGGAAGGGGGAACATGAATACCGTTGCAGATATGATTGCTGCCTACGTTATTCAGAAAGACTGTGAGTTGGGCAGTGCGGTCCTGTGCACGCCTGCTCAGGAATAAGCAACACTGAGTTCATTAAGGCATACTTTGAAGTAGGACAATGGTAGCCCTAGTTGACTATTCTGTCCCACTCACTTTCAGTTTTGCTAAAATCTCTTTCTGGAGAGGGACATGCAAGTTGTGAGTATATTCTTTTTACATATAAGAAAATAGACCAGTGAGAGTGGGAACGAATACCTTGTCAATTTCACTCTAAAGTACATACTGTACAGGCAAGCCATGGGCCATGGGCTACAGTACATGTGGCTTTTCCATGCACCTTTGAATATCTAGGCAGTCTGAGAGCCTTGTCCCTCTTTTCCGCTATCCAGCTTCATCATCAGCTAGGAAGCAGGGAACAGATACTGTTTCCTCACAGCTAACGGTGAGGGAAGCAGTGATCTGTATCAGGGTTGCTGGAGTCATGAAGAAAACCCTTTTGTTTTAGAGCAAGGATTTCTTGTATTGGGAATTCTTCACTTAATGAATGAGAGAAATCCATAAACATATTAGGAAAACAATGCTTAACATTTATTGAACATTATGTAGGAGAAAGTGTTTAGAAGTCATCTTGTAAATAAGCAATGCAAATAGGTAACACCAGCATAACAACTTTGGAATTGCAGAACAAAATGGACCAGCTTCTCCCAAACAATTCTGGATGAATTTCTAAGGAAACCACATCGGTTCACAAGGAAGTTGCCATTTACGTCCATCTCTTGAAGAGATAGCTTCTGCATACTACAAGGTGTTACTCAAAAATCGACCTTCAGAAGGTTTGGATATGTTGTTTAAACTTTTTCCAGGAGACAAATAACAGAGTTGGATGTGATCTACCAAAGTCTAGTCTCACCCAAAGAGGGGAGCTGAGAAGACCACCCTTTTCATCCCATAAATTGCCACTTAAACAATTCTGGATGAATTTCTAAGGAAACACACTTTTCATCCCATAAATTGCCGCTGGGTAAAAAGGCCTAAATAGAATCCTTGGGCCTCTCAGAAAATGGCAGGACAAGGAGGCAGAAGCACGTTGGCCTCAGTGAAGTTACAATAAGAAACAGATTTGCCTAAGATTACTGCAGTCTGCTCTGTTTGTTTCTCTCCAACAGGTGACACAGGAACCTCTCATTGACCGTAACTGTATGGTAACTAGAGCTGCTCTGTAAATGATCCTTGATCTAAGAGGAGGAAGGCATTGGAGTTGCTTTGGTTTTCTCCACTGCTGCCTATGCAGATCACATGCAGAACTAGAGCAGAAAGGCCCCAACGGCCATGCCGGGTACTCTATAATATGAGTGACACTTATTTTCCATTTTTGTGTGTGCAAATATTTTCCCTTAGGAAGGCTACGGCAAATTCCTTTGAGGGATCTTTTTGCTGACGGATGGGGGCACAATACCCTTGAACCAGAGGAGATCTTAGTGTCTGTTCGGATCCCTCATTCTGGGGAGGTAAGCGCTTCTCTCCCCTCCCCCTTCATCCTAGAAAGGTTAAAAATCTAAAAACCGAGTGGCACATTTGGTGCATGGTCAGGTAGCACTAAATCCTTTTCTGAAGTTTGGATCATTAGGGGGGCTTGAAAAAAAAATACATTCTTGAATCGTGTTAAACCAAGGTTGGGGAACCTGCAGCCTGTAACCCTTCAACAGTTGCTAGAACCCGCCAGATGTGGCTGAACTACAGGTCTCATCAACCTTGACTGCTAATTGACCTCTTTCCTGGAGCTTGTATCTTAAAGAAAGAGTGGAAGGACAAAAGACTATCACAGCAGGAGTCACTTTCTCACTCTCAGTCTTTTCAGCTGCACAAAAGATGATCTTACATGCGTTGAAAGACTTAACATTACCAGTATTCAAAAAGGGTTCTCTCTTTAGCATATTTAACAAAAATCTTAGGAAAGGTAGAGAACAAAACCCAATAGATCTCGCTAAAATTTGATTTTATTTGAAATAAATAATGAAACTTTGTAACAACATTAACATGTACAGTATGTACTTTTAAGAATGTCTGTTGTGTCATTTTGGAGCATTAAAAACAGACAATTTAAACAATGCATCTATCTCTTAAAGTGAAGAATAGTACTGCCCCAAAGAGTAGAATATCCAGGAGTAAAAACTTGCCCTTCAGAATGTTGTTGCTCAGCGAATTCTCTCCTTTCCTCTTAGGGTGAGTTTGTATCTGCATTCCGCCAGGCCCAGCGGCGGGAAAATGCCTTGCCTATTGTTAATGCTGGGATGAGGGTCCTTTTTGAAGAAGGCAGTGACATTGTCCGCAACTTGAGCATCTTTTATGGAGGAATTGGCCCTACTACACTTGCTGCGGAGAAAACATGCCAGGCCGTCATTGGGAGGTAACATACAATTTCCCTGAGACTTTGCAGCCTTTAAACCAAAGAGTCGTTTAAAGTATTAAATGACTTCCAATCTGACTCACTGGACTGGGTAACCTGGGAGTTGTTATCCTCCTCAATGTAGTTCATTTTTACTGTTTGCCCTGAATCCAGCTGTTAGTTCCACTAGGAGTAAGTCCACAAAATCAATTGCGGAATAGTGAGTCAATGCTTATGCAAATCTCATTGATTCAGAGTCTACGGTGGCAGGACTAGCAACTGGATTTAAGCCTTTAATGACTAGAATGATCTAGGTGTAGCTGGTAATATTTCAATTCCACCCAATGTCTGGGGGCAGAACATCAACACTGTGTTATCTCCACATCACCATGGGAGATTTCCAGAGAATAGTCAGCCATGAGGAGTAATGAATCTCATCTCTTGATCTGTCAAAATCATATTTGCTAAATTACAGTGGCTTTTGAGGAGGGTTTTTCACACCATTGCTCTGTCTCATTGAATTTCATGGAGACTCTCTTTCCTTGTTTCTTCCCTGGAAAATCCACCAAGGAGGATAAAACAGAACATCTCTTTGATGTTTTCAGATTGCTAGTTTGAGGAGTTCTACATTTAGAAATATTTTCAGATAGAAAGGCATCATAAGTTGGCTCTTAAGAGAAATGCAGTGTAACAGATTTCTTATTCTTCTGCTTAGAAGGACTAAGTACAAATGATGAGGATTACAGTAAAAGGATTATATATCATGCAGCTTAATGGTTTTCAGAATGTCAGCAATTTCAGAACAACAATTTTGTGACACATGCAATTTGAGAGGCGCATGTTAGCATATGACAAATGTGTGAAATGCAGAAATTACATGATCAAATTACTCCTTACATAAATCAGCCCTTATAATTCATCAGAATCCTCTGAGAATTAAGAAACACAGAATCATTTTTCGCACTGCATTGATCTTGGCTCACTCCAGCCAGCAGGGAAGTACAAAGAACTAATTTGGAATCATAACATAACAGTGGCAGCTAGAAATAAAATACCTAATGTAATTATCACTATTTGCCTAAACAAGGTTGGAGAGACAAGTTATAGGTACATCACAACTTCTTTAAATAGTTACTATCAGCTATGGCAAAATAAGATAGCCGCCTAGAGTGGTCGAAATGACTAGATAGGCGGGGTATAAATACAATAAATAAATAAAATAAAAAATAAGATAATCACTGGAAAGCTGTCATAAGCTTTTTGCCTTCCTCCTTCCTGTGGAGGAGCATCTCCCACCATCCCTCACCATTGGCTGTGCTGGTTAGGGCTGATGGGGGTTACAGTCCAACAGTATCTGTAGAGGCAGAAATTATCCACCCTTGTGTCATTGTTGTGTGCTGTCAGGTCACTTCCAAGTTATGGTGACCCTAGTAGGGTTTTTGGGGTGTATGAGATGTTCAAGGAGTGGTTTGCCACTGTCGTGTCCCAGTGGGTTTCTGTGGCTGAATGGGAATTTGAACCCAGTTCTCCTAAATGTTAGTCTGTTTTTTCATCCATTTCACCACATGGTGGAGAGACCTCATTTGTTAATCTCATTTTTGTTTTACAAAGACAGCCAGCTGAAATAACAACTCTAGATCAAATTGTGGATACTCTCCTGTGTGTCTGTGAAAAATACTCCATTGTGAGGCACTCACCAGCACAGCTGCTTCTAGTCTTGCAGTTGGTGTACTCTCACGTGCTCAATCAATGCATTTTGACTGATTGTTTTGCCAGGTCTTGGGATGAACAGATGCTGGATGAAGTTTGCAAAATGGTGCTCCAAGAAATTCGTATCTCAAGTTCTGCCCCAGGTGGCAAAGTAGAGTACAGACGAGCTCTCATTGTTAGTTTCATCTTCAAGTTCTACCTGGAAGTGCTGCAGGCGTTAAAAATGATGGTAATAGTCTGGGTGTTTGTTGTGCTCTGTATTAGCTGCGTGTTCAGCCACTGCTGAAAGCCAGAATGCCTGGATGGAAAGCAACATATTCCTTTCATTTTTTTTATTGTCAAATTGAATGGCATATAAATGAGACATAAATAAATAATAAAATAGTTGAGAAGAGAATTCAGTGGCCAATGGAACTTGTAATACAGCAACTCAAGGATGAAAAATGTGTTTAAAAAAAAACATTCAGAACATCTGTGAATCTTCTGTAGTCAGGTTCGCAAACTCAGACCACAGGATTTGGTTCTGGAAAAAATAACACATTTTACTTATAAACAAAAAGAAGAGAACCAGACAAATTCTGATGGAGCCAGCATGCTGTAATACAGGTGTATCCTGGGAAATGCCCAGTTTCATGATAGTATGGAATCCTCTCCTCTGCTTTATCCAACTGCGTGCTGGAAAGCAAGCATGATGGTGGCAGCAGGATGGCTTACACTGGCTAAAATCCGTTGGCTTACATCAGTAAATTGCTCTAGATTTGGCCCATTGAATCTATGGGTATTTGGGGAATCAACTTCTTTGTAAGTTTCACTGATTCAAAAGGGTCTATTCTAATTGCAACAGTACTAAAAGCTAAAGCAATGAATTATTACAATATTTTAAAAAAGTAAACAAATATAATCTGGAAATTGAATACAGTCATGGCAACTGGACTTCTTTCTTATTAGGCGGAAATGTTTCAGTACTCATCCAAGTAGCTTCTTCAGTCTGAGGAGAGTTGGTAGAAAACCCCTGATACAGTATATCCTCCTCATTGGTTTTACTTTCCCCTGGGGAAGTAGTCCAGCTGAGATACAACCAACGTGGAGGATATATCAAGGGTTTCCTACCAACTCTCCTCAGACTGGAGAAACTCTTTGGATGAAGCTACTGCTGTACTGCAGCCAAAACTGTGCTCACGACCTGGGGTTCAAATCCCAGGTAGCCGGCTCAAGGTTGACTCAGCCTTCTATCCTTCTGAGGTCAGTAAAATGAGTACCCAGCTTGCTGGGGGGGAGGGGCAATGTGTAGCCTGCATAACTAACTTGTGAACCACCCAGAGAGTGCTTTAAGTGCTATAAGCAGCACACTTTGCTTTTTTTGCTTTTACTTTATCTGACTTTCATTTGAGCAGGAGCTCCTGTCTAGATTAAGTTTTAGTTTATTCACTCTTGTCCAGTCCCTTATTGATACCAGACACCAATCTAGAATGGCCCCCTTGGATTTAGATGGAAAGGAGAGATAGAGTGTACTGCATCCTGGTGACACTGAACTCCAAAACTTCAGACAGCCTTTCCCAGTGGTTTCATGTAGATGTTAAAAAGCACAGGGGACAAAACAGAACCTTGAGGGACACTGTAGGCCAATGGCCAGGGTGTAGAACCGGAGTCCCCGCAACACTACTTTCTGAGTTCTCCCCTCTAGAAAGAATCGGTGCCACTGTAAAACAAAGCTTCCCATCCCAGAGAGACAGTGGAGAAGGATACCATGGTTGATGCCTCTGAAAGGTGCAGGAGAACCAACAGGAACACACTCCCCCTGTCCAGCTCCTGACACAGGTCATCCACAGAGGCAACCAAAGTAATCTCTGTCCCATAACCAGGCCTGAAGCCAGAAAGAAATGCAACTAGATGATCCATCTCATCCAGGACCTCCAGTAGCTTTGCCCAAAAACAGAACATTAGAGAGTGACTGGTCATTATCTAGTACCATGGGATCCAAGAAGGGCTTTTTCAACAATGATCATCATACTACTGCCTCCTTGAAGCATTCTGGGCTCCTACCCTGCTGCAAGGAGGCACTCGCCACTCCTCCTACCCACTCGGCCCTATTCCCCCTCTGGCAGCTTTTATAAGCCAGAAGGGCAAGGATCCAAGGAACATGTGGTGGCCTTCACCTCTGCATGCATCCTGTCTGCATCCTCAAATGTGTATAATGTTTGCTGGTCCATTTACAATGTTGTTCATGGAGAAAGGTAGCTCCTCATTGGTGGGAATGGTAACAGCAGCAGACAGGAGAGCGATCCTACTACACTTTCGCACACATCCGTATTTGGGATTGTCCCATAATTATTGCTTAGCACTTGGCATATTTGCAGCTCTGGCTACTAGTCATGATGACTGCTTATTACTTGCAGTTTGTCTCTGAACTCCAGTTGACAAGAAATAAGAGGAGGCAGAAAGCTAAAGTGCTCACATCCTCCTGACAGGTTCTTTGTAGGCTTCTGGTTGCCATTGTTGGGCACAACATGATGCAATAGAAAGGGTTTTGCTGTGGTCCAGTGCGAATCCTTTTATATTATTTATATTTGTTCCTCCTAAGCATTCAGGAAGTGTTATAGAAGTTCTTCTAATTCCTTCCAAATTAGATTTGTTCATGCTGGGGTCATTTTAAATTGGATTTTAATGAAGTTAAATGGTTGTTTCTTAAAGTGACTTATGAGTTTCTTAAAGTGACTTACTTCCTCTTCTTTCAGTATCCCAGACGGTATCCTGGTATCCCGGAAAATTATGCAAGTGCCCTTGAATATTTTCATACGAAAATGCCCCAGTGTATGCAAAAATACCAGGTCAGTAGCTTTGCTTGAGTAGCTGGGCGGGGGGTTGTGGGCCACCTTATATGCATTGTAGCCCTTGTTGAATAATTTCTTCCTTGACTTTTTGGAGAGGGATATTAGAGTTAGCAGGTATGTGTATGTATGAGAAACAGGCCATTTGGGGAGAAAGAAGCTTCTGCTTTCTGAGAAGGGATGGCTTTATCCCATTAAAAATGCCTTTTTATGCCAAGATGGTGAGGCGTGTATGTTGAAGGTTACTTAAAAAAATGTTTGGAAACATTGTTTTCAAGCAATGATTTTAACATCCAGGCTTAGATTTACCCAACTGTTAAACTACTATGGTCTGAAGGGCTACACAATCATGATAGTTTGGTGGGGGTGTTAAATAAGTTATTTTTTATAGTACTGGTCTATTTGTACATGTTCAGCAGCAAAGAATTGGTCTCAGTGTTCAAAACAAGCTGTTTGCTGTTGTTAGGAAAGAGCAAGGCTGGGAGCTAACTTAACCTTAATGAATAGGTGGATTTCATACAGAGCCCCGAGACCTTTTGTGTGGCCTGCAGAGGTTTGGGGGGCTACTAGGTTCTGTCCACCACCACCAAAAGAAGAGCCTACCACTGCACCCACCCCTCTATTTAAACCTTAACATTAAAACAAGGACCCCTTCCCCACCACCAGTAGGCAAAAAGCCAGGTGGCAACCTGGGAGAATTCCCCTGAGCTGTCCTCTGAGGGCTGTGAGGTGCAAGAGGCCTCATGTGTGACAGAGTTGCCTCTGGCATCGCTAGCGTGGGAGAGGATGGTTGAGGCCTTTTCCTCGCCTCAGTGATCGAAGGTAGTATTGGAGGAAGCTTTAGGCTTGCTTCAGTCACAGCGATGCTACTTGAGATGGTTGGGTTCAGTGTGTGTGTGTGTGTGTGTGTGTGTGTGAGAGAGAGAGAGAGAGAGAGAGAGTGTAAATGTCCCCCATCAAGTTATTTGCAATAAGATTTTATTATATGCAGGAATGTGTGGGGTGCTTATGTGTAAGAGTGCAGAGCCATACCACAGCCAGCCACCCTACACTTTGTGTGATCTTCATGGTAATTAAAACTGTTCAGCCTTGGTAAATTTTCATGGTAATTAAAACTGTTCAGCCTTGGTAAATTCTGCAGCACTATGAAGGCTAAAAGAAACCTAGCCTGCTTCTACACTAGGTGCTAAGGGTGGAATCACACACTTCATTTGCTCACATTTTGCAAGGACCCTCAATCCTACAAGCATCAGAACCCAGGGACTTGGCTTATCTGTCCCTTGATAAGTCAAATAAGACAAGTAAAAAATGGGGGATTATTTCTCCAATTTGTCAGGAGCCAGACTGCCAGGTTCAGCATCTCAAGATGCAAATCCCAGGCTGGTTTGTCACTGGCATGTTGCTAAATTTCTAAACAAATCCATCTACGACAATTGCAATACAGTGGTGCCCCGGATTAACCGTCGCTATGGGGAAGCATCGGTATACGGAACGGAAAAACCCATTGGAACGCATTCGTTTAATGCATTCCAACGGGGCCCAAAACTCACTGTTCTGCGATGTTTCCCCATCCGGCCGCCATTTTCGCGCCCTCAGTAAGCGAGGGCAGGGCGCAAAACCACTGCGCGTGGCCATTTTGGGCATCCAGTGGCCATTTTGGAACCGCCGATCAGCTGTTTTAAAAAATCGCTATGCAAAAATCGGTAAGCGAAACGCTTACCGATCGTCGCAAAGCTATTTCCGGCCATAGAAAGCATCGGTATGCGATCGCATTAGCGATCCCAAAAAACGGATCACTATGCGAATTTGTCGTTAAACAGTGCGCTCGTTATGCGAGGCACCACTGTACATGCATGTGTGTGTGCGTGTGCGTGTGTGTGTGCGTGTGTGTGTGTGCGTGAGTGAGTGAGTGAGTGAATGAGTGAGTGAGTGTCTAGTAATAATAATAATAATTTGTGCAATCAAGTCAATTCTGACTTATGGTGACTTTTAAGGATTCTCTAGAGTACTGTGAAGTGGTTTACCCTGGGATTGCACAGCTAGCCCAAGGCCACACAGGCTGGCTCTTCTGTTGGAAGGCATAGTGAGGAATCAAACTCTCAGCCTTTGCCTGACTCACTGAGCTATTCCCCACTGTATCTTCCAAGAGAGGAGCCCACTTGTGTAGCCCTGGGAAAGTTGCATTGTCCCACAATAGGCTGTACTCTATAGCCAAAAGAGACCAAAGGAACAGTTTGGCTTTCGAAAGTTGCATTGTCCCACAATAGGCTGTATAACCAAAAGAGACCAAAGGAACAGTTTGGCTTTCTTCTTCTCTCTGTTTTTTATATGTTTCTCTCTCAACTGGAAAGGATGTGAAGCCGGAACAATCTGCCCAAGATCCAGTGGGACGTCCTGTCGTGCACCAGTCTGGCGTTAAGCATGCCACGGGAGAAGCTGTTTATTGCGATGACATTCGCTCTGTGGATGAAGAACTCTTCTTGGCTCTAGTAACCAGTTCTAAAGCCCATGCAAAGATTGTGTACGTATGTGCGATGGTATAGCCAATTCTTTTTTCTTAAATGGCTTTGAAAGCTTTCTCCTTTGTAATAGTGAAGTAGAAACAAAGAACTGGAGGTGCTCCTTTGGTGGACTACTGGGCAAATGATCACCCTTTTTCTTTTCTTTTCTCTCTTTTTCTTTTCTTTTCTTTTTTGTGGGGGTGGGGGCTTGCTCAGGAGGAAGGTCAGAAGCAGGACATTACCAAGGGGGTCAGTTTTTATATTCACTATTAAGAAAATCACCTAACATCTTTTCCTTCTTTAAAAAGACTGTCTTATACAAATGGTAGAGGGGTGTTTTAAAATTTTCACTTGTGGTCTCATGAATCTCAGAGCGTTCTTGATGAGCAACATTTGCATTCAGACCTTAACTAAAAGCTCTGGAGCTTAACTGAATCTGCCCTTAAGAATTTCCATCTCTTCAGACCTGAGACTGGTGCAGAGGACTGTGTCCCTAATACAACACCCTTGTTTCTGTATCCCAGTGCTACATCTATTGGTCTCCATCAACCCAATATCCCCTGGAATCACCCAGTCTCCATTCTGTAATCACCTTTGTTTCTCCTTGCCCCTGACCCGACAGCCTATAAATAATACTTATTTTGCTCTAATAAAGCACTCTGTGATGTTAACTGTTTGGTATGGAACCCCCAGATCAATTGATGCTTCAGAAGCCCTCGCGATGTCAGGTGTGGTTGATATAATCTCTGTTCAAGACGTCCCAGCCATGAATGAGTTCTACAACTATGATGTCCCAGATATTTTATTTGCCAGAGAAAAGGTACACAACATTTGACCTTTGATTTGACCTAGTTCTCTCTTCAATTGTTATTGTTAATCTAAACAGGAATTGATTTCATTCAGTGTACTGTACACATAGGCTGGGAAGTTAGGTGGCTGTTGATTTGATCAGAATTTAACACAGAACAGTTACAGGTAAAAGAGGAGTTTGAAATGGCACTGAAGAAATATGGAAAGAATGTAGCACCATGTGCATTTCTGTCATCTACATCAAGATAGACTATAAGTATACGTATTATAATGATCAGATCATTTCCAAATTATTTATGTTAACAGAAGCAATTTTTTTCTTAGTGCAGAATAAAACTGAATGAGTAGAGCAAGACCATATTGTTACAGTCAGCAGATATTTAATCTGAATGTTATAGGTAAAGGTAAAGGTTCCCCTTGACAATTTTTGTCCAGTCGTGTCCGACTCTAGGGGGCGGTGCTCATCCCGCTCTTCAAGCCATAGAGCCAGTGTTTGTCCAAAGACAATCTTTCCGTGGTCACATGGCCAGTGTGATTTAGACACGGAACACTGTTTACCTTCCCACCGAGATGGTCCCTATTTATCTACTCGCATTTACATGCTTTTGAACTGCTAGGTTGGCAAGGAGCTGGAACAAGCAACGGGCGCTCACTCCGTCGCGTGGATTCGATCTTACGACTGCTTGGTCTTCTGACCCTGCAGCACAGGCTTCTGCGGTTTAGCCCACAGCGCCACCACGTCCCTTTCTGAATGTTATACCTTAGCACAAATTTTCTTTACCCTGATTTGGAGTGATTTGACAGGGCACCAAATATTAGTGATTTAATTCGAATCATAGAGTTGGAAAGGCCATTGAGTCCAACCCCTTGCTCAGTGCAGGCGACCAGGTCAAAGCGGATGAGACAGAGGGTTGTCCAATTTTTTCTTGAATGCCTCCAGCATTGGCGCGCTCACCACCTGCCAAGGTAACTGATTCCATTGCCATACTGATCCAATAGTTAGGAGGTTCGATCTTACGACTGCTTGGTCTTCTGACCCTGCAGCACAGGCTTCTGCGGTTTAGCCCACAGCGCCACCACGTCCCTTTCTGAATGTTATACCTTAGCACAAATTTTCTTTACCCTGATTTGGAGTGATTTGACAGGGCACCAAAATATTAGTGATTTAATTCGAATCATAGAGTTGGAAAGGCCATCGAGTCCAACCCCTTGCTCAGTGCAGGTGGCCCGGTCAAAGCAGATGAGACAGAGGGTTGTCCAATTTTTTCTTGAATGCCTCCAGCGTTGGCGCGCTCACCACCTACCAAGGTAACTGATTCCATTGCCATACTGCTCCAATAGTTAGGAGGTTTTTTTCCTGATAGTCAGTCTAAATCTGTCTTCCTGTAGCTTGAACCCATTATTATATGTCTTCTGCTCGGGAGCAGATCCTGCCCCTCCTCTATATGACTACCTTTCAAGTACTTGAAAAAGTGCTATCCTATCTCCCTTCTCAAGGCTAAACATGCCCAGTTCTTTCAGTCTTTTCTTATAGGGCTTGGTTTCCTGTCCGCAGGTCATCCTTGTTGCATTCCTCTGTACTTGTTCCAATTTTTTGGGCATACTAGAACTGGACACAATGCTCTTTCAAGTACTTGAAAAAGTGCTATCCTATCTCCCTTCTCAAGGCTAAACATGCCCAGTTCTTTCAGTCTTTTTTATAGGGCTTGGTTTTCTGTCTGCAGGTCATACCTTGTTGCATTTCTCTGTACTTGTTCCAGTTGTTTTTGGCATCCTAGAACCGGACACAATACTCTGGATGAGGCTGAACCAGTGCTGAATAGAAAAGGACTAGCACCTTGTGGAATCACTCTGGATGAGGCTTAACCAGTGCTGAATAGAAAGGGATTAGCAGGTTGTAGTTTTTCCACCAGAGAAATAACTTGAACAGCCCTGGGACTCATGCATCTTGATGAGGGGTGACAGTAGAAGTGCCATTTGCTGCTCAGCGTCAGGCAGCCAAATATCTTGGGCCAGCCCTGGCAGGAAAGGTTTTTAAATATATGTACCTATTAGAGTGTGCAGAGGTGTGATCCTCCTCCTGCAGGCTGAAACGCTAGAACCCAGCAGAATCTTCAGCATGTCCCCATATTACTAGGTGGCCGGCCTCTCAGGTTTTGAAGTACTAGGTACCCTATGTTAATTGGACCAATTTTGGAGGATGCACAGTATAGGAGTGGCAGGAGCGACAGAGAGAGACCGCCAGCCATTTGCAAAGTAGATTGAAACCTGGGTAGTGAAAGAGTGGAGGAAGATTAGGAAACGTTTGGATTGCAGTTTTGTAAATCAACCTGCAACAGTTACACAAATCCCGAGAGCGGTGACTTCAGCAGCAGTGAAATTGGTCAGTCAGCAAATCCCACTGATTGGTTTCCCCACCGACCAACTTGCAGCCAACAGCCCTTTTCAGTCGTCATGCAAGTCAGTTGTGCATCAGTTGTGGTGCTGATATTCAGCTTGTGCTTATGTGAACAATAAGATGCACCCCTAGAATAAGCATATTAGCAACCATGTATGTTATGTTGTGTGTGTGTATGTACAGCTATATGCATATGTTTCACCAGTTCTCTGTGGGCCAGGTGTCCGTTGGGGGCAAAAAAGACTTGGTGGTTTGCATTTTTCAGGTGACTTGTGTGGGTCAGATTGTTTGTGCAGTGGTTGCAGATTCGGAGGTTCATGCTAAGCGAGCAGCTGCAAAAGTGAAGATAGAATATGAAGCCCTGGAGCCTGTGATTCTGACTATAGAGGTAAAACAATATCCCCTTCTACATTGCTGGCTTTGCCTCTGTTACGCAGCTTTTAGCTTTCAGCTGTGACGAGCGTGGGAAGCCTAGGCAATCCAGAACAATTATATCAAATTGTTTTGATTATTTTGTGGTTTAATTAGGGCTCAGTAGCCTTAAAATCAGAGGCTGACATTTTACTGCAGAGTGAGCTAGTCTGTAATTCATTTCTTTGGGTGTTTCTGCAAGCCTGTAAGTGATTGTGTACCATCTTAAATGTCATGGGTTCCCTCCAAGGGATCCTGTAGTTTTTATTTCAGCCTTTTTAAGCCAATGAAGATGTGAATGCCAAGCTAATTGTGTCTTCTGCCACTGTAGGATGCGATAGCACACAATTCATTCTTTGAACCACAAAGGAAACTGGAACAAGGGAATGTGGATGAAGCATTAAAAACAGCCGACCACATAATTGAAGGTAAATTGCAGCTTCCTGGTTTAAAATCCTCCTGTGGAAGCTGAATCATGCATATCCATCCCAGTCTCCTACACCCTGTTCTCTGCAATGCCATGTTTGCCTAAGACATCTTTGGAGGGAGAGACTTTCCAAAAATGCCGAATGTGATAGATTTACCATTTGATGCCCAAAACAGCTGGCTGTCACAGTTACTGAACTATCATTCCTAGAAATAGTGATGTTTCATCCAGACAACATCATGGGATAGTGTTTGTTGTCACTTTGGGCAGATTTTTTTAAAAGCATGAAAATGCACATCATTAATTATCATCATAGGCATCCTTCAGTCTCGAGAGACTATGGTAACATGCTCTGAATAGAGGAGTGTCCTCTCCAGAGCATGAAGCCTGGGTAAAGTAATATGGAGGATAGGCTGTTACCCAAGCAGCAAATCCCCCCTCTCCACGTTGCTGAAATGGTCCAGTGGAAAGGCAAGAGCCAATACAACTCATTAATTACCTGTAATAAGTTCTGCCATGGCAGCAATCTTATCAGTGTGACCTATTGATTTTAGGCATGGCACTTCAAATACTGCAAATATTAGTAATGGACTATGCCTAAGAACAGCAGAATATGGGACTTACCAATATAGGCTGGATTAATGGAGTTATGTGGCTGCAGAATTACAAAACTGATTTCCAAGTCCCTTGTAAGGGAAAAGAATATGTCAGGACCAGCATTACCAATCTCAGGGTCACATTAAAATAAATATGTATTTCCTCCTTTATAACATTGTCCCTCCGGGCATGCAGCTCAGTACTATATGGTTGAGATACCAGACAAATTCAGACAAAGTGCTGTCTTCCCAACAGAAAAGCAAACTAATTTGCCAAATTTGGATTGAGGCAAACTCGTTTTAGAATAAATAGACTTTTCTTCCTCTTAAGGGTGCTAAAATAAGTCACAACTAGAATAGACCCATTTGAATCAATAGAACTCAAAGAGGAGTTGACTCCTCAGTCTCCAGTGATTCAGTGGGCCTTCCCTAGTCTGAGTGATTATGCTAAGCAACAGGATTTCAACCAATGTGTCAGTTAACCTCAATCTTCCCTGTAAACAGAAGACTCGCCACAGATGATGGTTCTCATAATGCTAAATTGTGGCTTAGTGCTATGGCCATACCCAGCCCATGTCATGCGGTAAGGGTCTGTTTACTTTCCTCTCTTCCATCACTGTCTCAGCCCAGACATGGGTGTTCCATAATATTTGCAACAGTATAGGAGAACCAAGCGCAACATAAACATATTTTCCTCCTGTTGTCAGACAGAGCAGGGTTTTTGTTTCAGGAGGGACCAATTTAAATTTTTTCTTATTGGAACAGGTGAGATCCAAATTGGGGGACAGGAGCATTTCTACATGGAAACTCAGAGTGTTCTCGTTGTTCCAAAAGGAGAAGATAAAGAAATGGATGTGTATGCATCAACCCAGCATCCAGCATTCGTACAGGTTAGAAAAGCATTTCCAAAGCATTTTGTGTAAATGACAGGACTGGGGGTTGTTTGTGTGTGTGTGTGTGTGTGTGTATGTGTGTGTGTGTGTGTGTGTGTGTGTGTGTGTTTAACAATCCTAAATTTATTGGGTGCAGTATTTTTGAAATGTCACTTAATCCCTTTAAATGATTCACATGTAGCCATGTCTAAAAATTCCCTTAAAAGTAACATCTATAATCAAGCAGAAAATGTTACTCCTTTCACCACCAGAATAACCTTGTTCTCATTTGTATTACTTTCTACTGTAACTGTGTTACACTCTCATTGCCAAAAGATGTGCCTTGTTGGGTGATTAAACATTTGGCATTGTATCTGTGTCATTGATTTGTCACTATGTTTGTTTTCCTAAGTAGTGGTAGGGTTTAAGAGAATGAGTTGTGCAAGCCATGAAAAGGCCCAGATCCAATTTTGCTTAGGCAAGGCACTTCCTCCCAGCCTCATATAGGTCTGTGCGTCCATTCTTAAAAACTGCATTAGGTAAAGGTTCCCCTTGACATTTAGTCCAGTCGTGTCCGACTCTAGGGGGCGGTACTCATCCCCGTCTCCAAGCTGTAGAGCCAGCGTTTGTAGACAGTTTCAATGTTCATGTGGCCAGAGCGACTAGACATGGATCGCCGTTACCTTCCCACTGAGGTGGTCCCTATTTATCTACTCGCATTTTACAGGCTTTTGAACTGCCAGGTTGGCAGGAGCTGGGAGAAGTGACAGGAGCTCACTGTGTCGCGTGGATTCAGGCGGGAATTCAATCTTACGACTGCTGGTCTTTTACCTCATTAGGTACAGCAAAAGCATTAGGTACAGCAGAAGCCACCACCCTTTAGAGCAGGAGAGGATCATCTCCAGAGGTCTGAGCCCCGCCACATGCCCATTCCTGGTAGACTTTGAAAGATCACATTGTGGTAGTGATCTTCCTTTTTTTTCCTTACAAAATGGTAAGGTTTTTTTTAATGAGGAGGTGGAGTCCTTGCACCTTCTAGTGGCTGACTTAGAAAATAAAATAAAATCTGGGTGGGGTGAGGCCAGGGGTGCTGGAAGGCCATCAGAATGTGGCATAAGAACTTGCACCTCCCTTAGAAGACACTTGGATTTTTTTTTAAAAAAAGTTTGCCCCAAATATTTTTTCATAATACTGTAAAGTTTGGAACAGTATGGAAGGTTCTGGGGGACTACATCTGAGCCCTGGCGGGGGGGGGAGTGTTTACACATGGCTCACTCCTGCTACAAAGTATTTCTTTTGGTTCATGGATTCTGAAACACTATTTCTTTTCCTTTTTAAGTGTATGTATCACACCATATACGAAATAAGCGTATCCATTTTTAATTGGATTGGCGTAATTTTACATTGGCTTTTCTGCAGGAAATGGTGGCCTCCTGTTTAGGCATCCCGGAAAATAGGATAATGTGTCATGTGAAACGGGTCGGAGGGGCCTTTGGGGGAAAACTCATGAAAGCTAGTATTCTGGCTTGTATAACAGCAGTGGCGGCCAACAAGTAAGTATGTCTATGTTCCAGTTCAGGAACTTCTCTGTTGCAGTGCGATGTACAGGGGGGAAGGGGAAATAGGAGGAAAATATAGAAGTGAAATGGGTTGCTGAAATATACTTTCCCTTTTCTGACACATTAGTGGAAAGTCAATCATGTGTTTTTTTTTTAAAAAATGCACCTGTGCTTAGAGTCTTAAATGAGCATATCAGGTTTTAATGCCAGGAAGCAATATCTTTAAATACTTGATCAATTTAAAATAAACTCTGCCTGTATTGTGTGAAGCCAGAATCTTGTCCTTTGAGACAACATCATAGTTCAACTTTCCCAAGCCTGCTGTCCTTCAGATTTGAAAGTCATCCTTTCCCATCATTCCTCAGCCAGAATGGCGGGTAGCCATCTGCCTGGAGATGAGAAGGGTTGTATTTTAACCAATTCAGAAAGCATGCCAGGTGGCAGGAGGGTAATTAGTTGTTTAAATAAGTTATCTATTTCTGCCAGTTCTTCCCTGTCAGTCTCAGCCAGGTATTTCTTTCACAGGTTTACTGTTTTGGCTGTAGAATCACTGTTTTACATGGAGACTTATAAAGCATAATGGCTTCATTGGTAGAGGACGCTGATCAGTTAAAATTTAAAATACCATTTATGGCTTAAGTAGCAGAAAAGCTAGGCACATGAGTAGATTTGCAGATAAAGCCATGAACTGGGCACAGAAGAAGAAGATGAAAACCCACCACTCACAGATGTTTTAAAAGCTCAAAGGCCTGATTGAGTAACCTTCCTATATACCATTTTTTTAAAAGATTGGAACAAAACATGACATTAAACACATCCTTTGCTCTCCCGTTTTGTTTGGTTTTCAAATAGTAACAGGGATAGATATGGAGGGGCATGCTGATTTAGACTGGCCTGGGATGGGGATTCCCTCTGTCTTAGTGGCTGGACTCATGAATGAACCTAGTTCATTGAATAGTAACCGCTTTGGAATTCAGAAGGAGATTGAGTGAATGGATGGACTTTCATACCCACAAACATCTGCTTTGATGCTATAAATATAGAACCAGGCATTAAATTAAGAAATATGGACTAGAATCCCCTTGGGGTTGCCATCAGGCTTGTGTCACCTGCTGCAGCTAATGGTGGCTAATTGATAAGGTGCTAGAGCAGTGGTCCCCAACCTTGGTCCTCCAGATGTTCTTGGGCTTCAACTCCCAGAAATCCTGGCCAGCAGAGGCGGTGGTGAAGGCTTCTGGGAGTTGTTGTCCAAGAACATCTGGAGGCCCAAGGTTAGGGATGACTGTGCTAGAGGGCATCTCAGTTATACGGTTGGATATGTGGCTAGAGGAGGTGGTGAAGACTTCTGGGAGTTGTTGTCCAAGAACAAATGGGGGCCCAAGGTTGGGGACGACTGTGTAAGAGGGCATCACAGTTACAGTATATGGTTGGATATGTGACTGGGCACACAACCAAGATGTGTTCCAGAACCTTTCAGCTATCCATAGTTAGCCATGATGGATGCCAGTACAATAAAAATGCCAATAAAGTTCTGGTTTGGGGTGAAGTCTATCTGCTTCTGAGCCACTCACTACATCTATAGCTGCTAAGAAAAACATTAAATTACGCCATCGTGAAAGAAGACATAAAAGGAACATTTCAGACTTTGTTGCATGGAACTCAAGAACAGCAAGGCCACTTTTTAAAAATTAAAGTAAGAAAGAATGATCCTGATTATGAAAATTTGCCTCCTTTAATTTGGTGCAGAATCAGAGCTTTTCTTTTGTTCTTTCCGATAAGGCACAATATGCACCCATTGCTTTCTTAGTTATTTAGCTTTATGTCAGGATCAAGTGGGATTAGTTCTTTAGAAGTGCTGCGGATTAGCCCCCACATTCATTTTCCACACAAAAAAACTGTTTTAAAATAAAATATTATACTCATAAGTACTCTTAAAATGAAGGATCATTAGCAATCATGATCAGAGTGCCATACATCACTGTATCCCAGTAGGTCTGGGTCTGTCACAATCATGATCAGAGTGCCATACATCACTAATCAACCTTCAGGGTTAAGAAACAGTTAGATCATCCAGGGCAGAGAGCATAGGTCACTGCCATGGGATGGGAGGACGTTTTGCTGCAAAAACTAGACCAAGTTTGCAATGGAACAGTGATACAGTGATCCCTCGGTTTCCTGGCCAAAGAGAAAAGATTAACTACAGTAGGACCACTCTATTTGCAAGATCAGTATCTGCAGATACCTTCAGGGTTAAGAAACAGTTAGATCATCCAGGGCAGAGAGCATAGGTCACTGCCATGGGATGGGAGGACGTTTTGCTGCAAAAACTAGACCAAGTTTGCAATGGAACAGTGATACAGTGATCCCTCGGTTTCCTGGCCAAAGAGAAAAGATTAACTACAGAAGGACCACTCTATCTGCAAGATCAGTATCTGCAGATTCACTTATGCACTGCCTGAAAATATTAAATTTTAAAAACCCAAAATATGTATTTACACATTTCCACAGTGTAATTACCAGAAATGGCCACTAGGGGGAGCCAGTGAACATGTTATATATAGGGTTCGCTATTTCCACATTTTTTATATCCACGAGGGGGGGCAGGGGCCTTAGAACCAATCTTTTGCGGATACCATAGTTCTACTGTATTAGCAATTGCAAAGACTGCGCAAACCCAGTGGAACCACACATGTTCCTCCTGTTTCGTCCCCATGTGCCCTCATTGTTCTCTCCTCTAGCTTGCTCTTGCTTTCTCTATTTCCTTTATTCCTTCAGGCGACTCCTGTCCCCAGAAACTCTGTTTCCTTTACAGGATTTCCTTTTTCTGCATTCTTTCCTCCTTCTTTCACAACATTCCTGGTTTGGGCTACAGTACCTATTCTGAACTTTACAAACTCTTTTCTCTGCCATCTGATTTCCTCCTCATTCATCAGGGGACCTGTCAGGTGTTACCCTCAAATAGTTAGGCAGTGTCTTAAACTGAGTCCTGAGGTAAGCATGACTAAAAGTACTTTGGTCACTCTGAGAGTCAAACAAGAAAATAGTATGTTTAGAATAAGTGCTTCCTTAAGTCATCTATTTAGGTCAGATCATCTTGGGTCAATGCTTCTTCCTTGTTTCTATTACAATATTGTCCCTACAAGTATGCAGATCATTTAGCATCAGGTATCTAAAGCATCAGACAAAAAAGCAAGAGAGAAAGACATCAAATGTGTGAATAAATCCACGCCATCTCCTAAATAAGCAGTTAAAAAACAAAGGCTAATTAATTTGCCAAATGTGGATTAAAACAAATTTGTGTCAGAATACAGTTTTTTCCTCATTGAACTTCTAGATACAGAATGAATGTCTTACATAATATGGGCCTGGGTCCTAGCTAGTGATTTTCCTCATCTGTTAATCTTGCATTTATCGTGCTTTATTTTGTGACTGCTCAGTGAAAGGTAAAACGAGGCTTATTTTGCAATTCTGATTGCTGAGGCACATATCTTGAGGAAATGCCAGCGTGAAAGAGAAAACAGGTACGGTAAATAACTGTGCACGTTGAGTTTGACCCTTTAAAAATGTCTGCCTATCTTAGGTTTACTTTTTGGTTCTGCTTTGCTTTAGGACTGGTCGTGCAGTTCGCTGCATTCTAGACAGAGGCACTGACATGCTAACTACTGGTGGCCGGCACCCTTTCATTGGCAAGTACAAAGTAAGCAGTAGGATAAACCTGTGCATTTAAAAAAGAAACACTTTGTTTACTCAACTTGGATGTTAAAAAATACTTGGCAAAATGTGTGGACAGGGCCTGGCAAAATATGTGACTGGAATGTATCTGTAGCATAGGTTCAGAGGGTGCCTAACAGCTTAAAAGTGATGAGTCCAAGTGTTCCTGCTGTTCGTCTGTCTGTCTGCCTGCCTGTCTATATACCTTCTGCATTCTACTCTAGATCTGTATCCCCTACATTATGCCATCATATAGTTTAAAGACTGAATTAAAACAGCCAAGGCAGCTTTTTAAAAAGAAGCTCAAAGTAAACTGTGCCCGTATTGATTTTATTTAGATTGGCTTCACAAACAGTGGCAGAATCTTGGCAGTAGATATGGATGCTTACATTAATGCAGGATGCACCCCCGATGACTCTCTTCTGGTGAGTGTTTTCAAGTTCTGTGTGAGGAAAACAAAACAAAAGGAAACCTTATGAAAACAGAGGTGAGATGTTGTGTACTCTTCTCATGCACCATCTCATGCCAAACACAGGAGACTAAATAGGGGACTTTTTCTAGAATTTTTTTAAAACTCCCTCCCCCCCCCGTGCTATAATTTATCAACAAAAGCAGATAATATAAATAGCCCATAATTCAAGTGAAAATCATGTTAAGATTGGAAAGCCATAACTGAGGCAACATTCTGGGTTTGAACAATCAGACTTGAATGGAATCATACACTTTGACTCTGACAATCGTTCATCAAATAAAGGAAGCTAATCTGCAAACTCCGGATGTGACTAGATGGGGGAATTTGGAGCAATCTGGGTTACCTTTAAAAAGCCCTTATCTTTGGCGTACAGATGGTCATGGACCACAAAAATTGTGGTTTGTGGTGGTTCGTAGCTACCCACAAATCATGAGCCATCCAAACTTTTTAAAAAACCAATCCATGAACCAGTTGGGTTTTTTAAAAGTCTGTACTTGGGGGGAGAGGAAAGTAACCCCCCCACCTTCCCACCTTTTTCCCATTGTCCCCATGCTATCTTGAG